ATAAAATATGACTCATCCCCCTCACAAATCGGACTCTGTGAACCCAACAGAGGGAATACCCTCACAAACACAACAACACTTGATGCGTAAAATAAGTTAACACACAAAATTAAACCCTCTTTTTATCAAATGTAGTAAAGTATGTAAGTAGGGATCGTTCTAGGCCGGGGATTAGGAGGGATTGCTAAACACTTGAAAACTGACTTAAAAACATAAAAACAAAATTTAAAACACTAAACTAGACTCAAAGAATGCAAAACTATACTTTAAAATACTTAAACAAACATAAAACTCAAAACAGCAACCTAATGACTCAAAACTGCCTAAAAACCACTTTCTGGGCAGTTTTGAGAACCTAACAAGAACTTGGACGAAGTTGGATGAAAACTTGAATCAAAACACTTAGAAACACAAATCAAAACACTTTCTAACTAATCTAAGACTTCAAAATAAAGGGGGATTTGTTTTGGACGAAAATTGAAAACAAAACAGAAACTTTAAAACAAAACAGATTGTAAAACGTTTTTGGATGAAAAGGATGGATAAAAGGCTAGTTAGGAGGTTCTTCTCCACACATGACACACTTGCATACAAAACGATTTCCAGTTGCTTTTCGATAAGCTATGAATACTCAACGCCCCAAATTAACCGTGAATTGCACTAATTAACCCTCAGTTTTTTCCACAAGTTATTAGGTTGGATGATTGCATACGACAACCCAAAACATTCCCTACAAGTTCCCTACATGAATTGCATAATAGAGATACAAGCAAGAATCATTAAGTTCTATGAAAAACATAAGCATTGACGAGGCACTCGTTACTATGATTTGCATGAAACATATGCCAACAGTTTACTTAACGTGATTGTGACTAGCAACCTTCACTACTTGTGAATATAAGTTTATAACGATTAGGTGAAACTCCCTTATATTCTAGCGTCAAATTCATGCATGAAAATTAAGCGTGGACTCTTAACCAACATACACAAATTGGTTTTTATATGAACGGATAAGTAAATTGAATTCACAACTTATGAATCACAACTGGATGTAATCAAATCATATTGCAAGTATGAACATAGTTTCGAATCACCCCCTAACTAAGAGGGGTTTAGTTCCTCATACTCACAAAGCAAAGATACATAAAATTAGACATTAAAATCAAAGAAGAAAAAAACAACCTAAAATGCTCCAACTTGGTAGCAAGTGCATCCAAGATTCCTCCTTTCCCTTGCTTGCGGCAGATTGGGTTATGGACAGATTTTGGGTAGTTTTATGATGTAGAATGGATGAGGAATGGTATGGAAGGGTTTAGGGTGAGTGTGTGGAGGAGTGTTTGATGGTTGGAGGGTGGTGGAGAACTAGGCAAAGAGGGTGGAAGAAGGTGGAGTGGCTGTTATGTTTTCTAGGCACTAGAATGGTGTTTTTGGGGTGTTTTGCTTCCTAGGGTGTGTTATGGACGAATTTTTGTGATAAAAAATGATGAATATGGGGGATTTGTTCTTTTGCCAAGGGGTGTAAACATGTATTTATAGGCCCCAAAAACCTTAGAAAAATCAGGTTAGGTTAAGGATGAAATGCATGGCAATTTTGTGTGTGTGGTGTGCAATGGTCCAAGGGTGAAAATGAAGTGATGATGCAAAGTGTTGAAGGGTAAAATGAAGTGGTCTTGTAGCTAGGGGGCATGAATGATTGTGTACATTGCATAGAGATGGAAAGGGAGGTGAAAATGTGTCAATAAATGGGTCAAAGGTGCAGCAACATGTGGTACACAAGGCATGGGATTCCAAATGTGAATGATGGAGCATCAATTGGTGCATGTAATGGATGTAAATGTTGTCTAAAATCTAATAAGTGAAGGGAACAAGAGGTATCAAGCAATTGAGTGTAATAATTAAATGAATTGAAGCATGAAATTAGAAATTATGTAGGGGACAAGAGTGATCAAGCATGGCATGGAATCCAAAGGGAATTCTATGTGGTTTGCATGGCAAGGAATGCAAGTTGGGGTGACAGATTTTTGGGCTGTTTTCTTCATCTTTTGGACCATAATTCTTCATATTCTTGTCCTCTTTAGTTCTCAAATTCGTCCATCCACTTGGCCCATGCATTTGCTATCCATTCCAAGCCCGAAACATGCTCCAAAGGCCTCCAAAATGCATCTTCTTGCATACTTTGTACTTAGAGTCTGAAAACACACGAAAATGACTTTAAATATTAAAATAACTAAGGAAACACGACATAAATGCACAAGAACAAGCCAACTAAGTCGCATAAATATGCTCCTATCAACACTCTCTTTCTCTAGGGGACTCCCCCTCACACTTGTAATCCATACATTCATACAGAGAAATACAATCAACATCAGTGTGGACGTAGCCCAAACATTGGGGTGAACCACGATACATCTTGTGTTCTTTACTTTCTTGTAGATTCACGGTCGGAGTTACGTTGTTCCAAGACCTCTCCGGTTTTGTGCATCAACAAAATCAAATACCTCTTTCTCAATGTACACAACCAAAATATCATTCAACCATTGATCACCCATCCTATTACGATGTGAATTCTTCACAATTTTCACCACCGAAAAAGCTCTTTCAACTAAAACATGAGCAACAAATAAATCAATACTAATTTCACTAGCAAGTACACCAACTTGGATCACATGTGGGCTCACATGTTCCATGTTGGGTGAGCCAACTTGGGTCAATATTTGTTGGCCATTGTGGCCCACGCAACCAAGATTACTTACAATAGCAACTTTCTGTTGCGAGTCATGTTGGAGTGCTGCTGTCAAAATTTTTTTTAAAGGGTTTCGTTCACGAAGTTATTGGGGTCAAGGGAGCCCAATGCCCCCGCATTGGCTCCACTAGTGGTCATACAACGATTCAGTTGGGTGGTTGTATTCTGGAGAGAACAAGTCAAGAAATAACGCACTAGTTCGTGAAATTTTATCAAACCGCAATGTGCTCTCCTTAAAGAGAGTGAGATACTCACACCTCAACCTAATTGTCTACGCGCTTCTTAGAAGAAGTTTTCAATTTTCTTGAAATTTTCCCAAGATAACCTAAAATGTACCAAATGACGATAAACTAAAAAATATTTTGTAATTAATGACAACATATTTTTTATTTTTTTATGTTTTAAAGAGACAATATATAGTTTTAACATTAATCTAAGGGGATTCAAACTTAGTTGCAATGAATCATTTCAGAACCAATGTCCTTGTTTCGTTAGTTTATTTGTTTTGTTGAATATTTGATGATGACACTGTGTTGTAATTGTCACTCCAAAAATGTCATACCCACCATTCCCTTTCACGTACAAATTCTCTCATAAAATTATGTTGAAATTGGTACCAGACAAAATATTCTATAATTAAAAATCAATATATGCTAGACTGACTAGTCAACGACACCGGTCAACTAAGTTCAGATTTACTAGTTTACCAAACTTAGATTACTTGTCACATCCTGGCCCGGGCCCGCACCACATCCCGGGCTTGACTCCACTATAGCACGATATTGTCCGCTTTGGGCCCCGACCATGCCTTCACGGTTTTGTTTCTGGGAACTCACACGAGAACTTCCCATTGGGTCACCCATCTTGGGAATGCTCTCGCCCGAACTCGCTTAACTTCGGAGTTCTGATGGAACTCGAAGCCAGTGAGTTCCCAAAAGGCCGCGTGCTAGGTAGGGATGAAAATATACATATAAGGATCACTCCCCTGGGTGATGTGGGATCTTACAATAAACTCTGAAGTTAAGCGAGAAAGTGGCCAAAGCACTCCTATAATGGGTGACTCACTGGGAAGTTGCTCATGAGTTCCCAGAAACTAAATCGTAAGGGTGTGGTCGGGGCCCAAAGCGAACAATATCATGCTACGATGGTGGAGCGGGCCCGAAAAGTGGTCTGCCTTGGGCGGGGATGTGACATTACTGAAGTGATCCAAATTAACTAAAGTCTAGTTCAATGCTAATGGTAACTCTGATAAACTTAGTCATAAACATAAATATATTTGCAAGCCATAGAAATCATATATCACAAGCAAATGAACAAGATATGCGAACAAGAAAAACAATCAACAGCACACAAAGTTTTTGGCCGAAAAAAACCCACCTCTGGATTAAAAAACCAGGGACTTTACTGAGTCCAATTTGCTAGTGGAAATAAGGTTCATACAAATTATCACATCAAGCTCATTTCCTAGATCTAATCTAAGGAGCAATTTTACCTTTGTGCAACCTTACTTTGCACGTGATGGAGATGTCTTTAGTCTTCACTAGGAGGCAACTCTAACCTTGAACTCTTCTTCTTGTGGCACCGAGACCAACACGATCAATGCAAATGATATTATGATGATGATAATGTGAAATTTGGATACAAAAAATCAGTCAGTTTCTCCAGTCAAATAATTGAAGGAAGAAATCTATATGAATATGAAAACTAGGTTTAAATGAAGATTTGAAACTTAAGGGACCATGAAAATAGTGCAAATCTATTTCTCAATGATGGGGAATTTTATGCATGGAAATCAGTTTGGCATATAAGGTTTCAAGTGAAGAACACAAGAGGAAGCTTAAAGTTTTTTAATGCAATCTTAAAAAATCTAGACTTTTTAACCAAAAGAGCAAATGAACCCTAGGACCTCTTTTTAAGGAAGGCATGCATGTTTCAAACAAAGAGAACCCGGAGATACGCGTCAAGAGCAAAAGCAATCTTTACAGATCTAGGGTGGAAAATTCACTCTCATGAAAAATGTGTCAGCTGGCTCATGTGGGATGTCTTAAAGTGTGTGCCTAACTCACGTGAAAGCAGTGACCAATTCTGATGAGACAACACAACTAGACAGAATGGATTGGAAAATTAAGCATGAAATGCATATGCATGAACAAACCTTTGAGGAGGCAAAAGCAAACGATTGAGTGATTATTTCCAGCAGTATGATCACATAAGTGACAAGGATCGTCGTGCTGGAAATTGCAGATAAGAAAGAACGAATGAAATATCAAATTTCTTTATTAAAACACACACACAACCTTGACATTGTGTGTTAATTGTCAAGTAATGGCAAGTTCAGACTTCTTTGGATTTTCTCCTTAGTTCATACCGTAAGGAGATACAAATGAATGGAAAATTATAAATGGACAGGAAGAAGTAACATTGGTACAACAATTCTGCTGCTTAATATGACAACTGCGGCTGTATGTTTCGTGAAGATATACTTTCAAATCCCCGGCGTTGTTTCTGGAAATACGGATGAAGACTGTGGACTCCCTCCAAATATACGGGCGTCTGCATTTCAATCAAGCGCGACACCTACACATACGGATCATCCATTCAGAATATTGGAAGATTAATCTGTCTGGCCAGAAACCACAAGAAAATCCAGAATAAATAAAAGCCCTGAAGTTTCTACATTAACTCATCGCTGTCATTGGACCGCCTAAACTGTTATGAGAGCCAAAGAACGAAATCAGAAACAAAGTGGTCTGGAGAAACAAAGAACCACTTACTGCTCTGCGGAAAGCAAACATCTCTTCTTGACCAGATAGCATGGATATTATACCAGTTGGGGCACCTCCTGAACTAACATTCCCTTCTGCTAAAACATCGCGACGAAGCTTTGAACCTTCTGTCTCTGTTTCAAACTGGAAACTGAAAGCAAGCAAGTACACATGTTTAGACTGAAATACTGACAACCATAACAATACTAAAAGAACCATTGAATCAGAATTGCTAGTACTATTAAGCAAATGTATCTCCTTAAGCCCTTGACGGTACAAGAATCTTTCAAGAATGTATCCAAGTCAATTGATATTTCCTGCACGTTGCGCTCTTATAACTGAGCTGATATTTTGATGACAGTTTCCCCTACCACCGATAAATTTGCACAAATGCAATAAATTGTGTGTGCAAGCAGGAGAAAGTAATTTTTACATGCATCTACTTGAGGATATGCAAAACCTATCCGAGAGTATCGGGCAAGTATTGGATACGGGATACGGGACCAAACAGAAGTATCCGTGCATCATAGTGCAAAACATATGCGAAAGGAATACAAGTCAGAAACAAAGCAATGAGTGGTAAGTCCTGACCCAGAATGATGAATCTCAAAGCCCCGAGATTTCTTGATATAAAATTAATAAGAAATGAACAAAAACGGACACTCACCTCTCCAGATCAAAAAGAGTACCCTCTTCAGTTCCTTGAAATAATTCATCAATAGAAGATGCTGCAGAACAAAATAGACGGCAATGATGATTGTATAATTCATCAATGAGGGTAATAAACCGCCGTGCCTGAAAAATTGGAAGAAAAAAAATTATTTAGTTTATGTCAAATGTATACTCATTTGAACTAAAATTAAATGTGAGATATAGTTTTTGAGACATTCGGATGTTTGTATTGATCTCGTACAATACATATGCATGCATGTCAATCCAGTTATCATTGACAGGATTGGGACATGATGACTACTTAATGCTTTCATTTTCTGTTTCTTTTTTTCAAGCATTGACCTGAATAACTGCAGATATATGTTCAAAGCGCTGGAAAGTCCCCCCCCCCCCGGACTCACATTACCAGATATAACTAAACCCACTTTGCATACAATGTTTTAGTCCTTATTGTCCGATGAAGCTTCACCAATTTATGTGGAACCCGAACATGAAACATGCCAAACAAAAAACTAGAGAAGTTGAGTAGTACCTTATCACGGATACGCATACTCATCATTGGAATGTCAGATATAAATATAGTGTGATAATTTTCTGCAACTGCAATATAATCAGCTGCACCTACCTAAATTCAATAACAAACGCAGAGAGAAAATATAAAACAATCATCAGATATAGAAAATAGATGTAAGATATAACACGAAACTTGCAAACACAGACAAAGGCAAGAGTAATACCGGCCGACCACAGAGATAATCAAATGTGAACCGTGCCGCTCCATTAGAGCATTCGGGAACCTCCAGTGTTCTGATTTACGAACCAAGTGTCTTTAATTACATAATGGATTATGACAAATAAATTGTTATTTCAAATTTTAGAAGTACCTCCCGAACATCACTCGAATAGTATCCGAGGCAATCTGTCCCCCTATTTGGTTTGTGACTTCATGCCACTTCTTCTCAAATTTCTCCATAGCAACGCTGTCTGAGGGCCAGAAGTAGTGAACCTGTATGTTTAAGCTGGTAAAGTTTTACGCGACAGTATTATCTATATGCCATTTCTAACTACTAGATGGAAACAACTACTCCAAAATGCAAGAGAGTAGGAACTCTGCTTCTATAATTTAAAAAAAAAAAAAAACAAGATACAGAATTGTGAATGGACTGATGAGTCAGTGAAGCATATCCATCAAATACATGAAGAACAACTAAAGAATGACGGGAAAATAGCCATGACTTACAGCACTCATATATGAAGCTGTTGTCAACGAGTGCAACGAAATAGAAGTAATATTTCACATGTATTTGCCAAAAAAGAAAATGCTTCATGCTTACCTGGTCTGCAGATCTTTGACTTTGAGCTATAACACGACGATAATCAATCTCACTTCCAATGAGTACAGTCTCACAGTGCTCATTCAGTTTGCGAACAAACTTTTGGAAGATCTCCCGCTGCATACCATCCTGCATAAGAAATTTTTGTTTCAAAAGAAAAAGGTAGAGAAATGTTGGTCCAAGAAAAAAGGATGAAAACTTCTTATCAACATAACAATCAAGTTGCTAAATAATTCAAAGATCATTTACAAAGTATTGATTTTAGGCCATCTTCATCACTCCTTACCCATGAAGTTACATGAATAGGCACAATGCCAAAGGATTATCGAGAGAAATAAATTGGCAGGGAATATGGATGGTTTATCACAGTATTAAAGAAACACACATGTGCACCTGATTTAAGTCTGTTGGCGCTCGATTACTGGTGGCAACAAAAACAGTTCCGGTACTTAACAATCTGCTAACAATTCCAGATAAGGCCACAATAGCAAATACATCAACAGTCTGAAATAGAAAGAAAGAAATTCCAAGTCACAAGATGAGCAGCAGAACATTTAAGCTAGGTTTTCCCCCAGCGTGTTGTAGAAAATACGGAACCATTATTGTTACATGAATGCCAAGTTGATCCTATTTAAGTTTAACTTAACAAGTTTAATTCAACCTTGCGATTAGAAAAAAAATGATCACAAACTGCAATAAACAATAAATAAAGGACAAAACAGCAAGACCTAAAAACATTAAATCTTGACTGACTGATCCATTAGAAACTTTACGATCATTTCTGTAAGGCATTATAGGCTGCATATAAGCTATGGACTAGGATCCTTCAAGCTTGATTTGAGACAGCAAATACTAGCTCTATTTAATTGGTAATAGGTTACAAGTCATACATGTGTCCCCGATTAAATCTGTTAGCCCACATTAATCTGACCTGTATTTCGTCAAAACAGAGAATGCTACCACCCTTTTGATTTGCCTGCCGGTCTATGAGCAGCTTATCTGCTACAGCTGGAAGGATGTTTTTCATCTGAACCTCTTGCTTATATCTCTCTTCTGCAGCGACCCACTCCTTCACCCTCGAATCAAAGGGAAGATTCATTACCCAATTGGAAAGGCTTGAATGCAAAGACTTTTCCTCCACTTGGCTTTTCCAAATCTGATGCATTTGTTCGTTAATCTTTAACATTGCCTGCAAGTAAAGATGTTAAAAGAATAACTTGCATTCTCATGGTCAACTTGGGTAGAAGATGATCCACATATTTCAAGGACGTACGGTTCGAAATAAAATGGGTATGATCAGTTAATGTCATCCAAAATTTGTCGAATCACTCTCAAAAGCTCACCTCGTGAAAGTGATATCTCTTTCGATGCTTAACTATTCCTTCAGTGGCACTAAAAAACATGTCCATAAGCATCGTCTTCCTGAATAGAAGTACCGAATTTCGATTCAAGCTGGCACACATTTGCTTTACAGATGATACACATACAAAAAACATAGCAACATACCACTTCCAACATTGCCGTAAATATACAGTCCCTTGGGAGCCGGAGGAGCAGTTGGGCGGCGACCAACGCGTGAATCTAACTTCCTCTCTCGATTAAGATACGAAACCCATTTCCCCACTCCGGGTTCTGCTTTATCAGGTTTCTTCCTGAGCCAAACAGAATCACAACATTGACATTCAGAAAACAGTAAAAAGAAACCGAAAATCTCTAAGCTTTTTCGACAAGCAATGGTATGCCTATGCCTTACCGGGACAGCCATCTCTGCACAAACTTATTGCGCTGGTTGGTGACTGATGTCCATACATCATCTTTCTGCTGGCTCTCAGCTTCCTCCATTAAAAGCTTCCGCCGCTCGTCCTCTCTCCGCCTCTCCCAAATCGCAAGCTTTTCCTGCAAAATGTGAAGGAAATTTCAAAATTCTCCGACCAGTTCTCAAATTACAACTTTGAATTCAAATGTAGGAGCTGAAAATTAACGATTTTTTCACATGATAATCCTCCATTTCTCTCTCGTACTGCTCCAATCTCCCGAGCAACTCCTCCAATTGAAACGCCACCGTCTCTTGCTTCGGATCATGCTGCAGCTTCCCTTCCTCGACGAGGCTCTTGTACTGCGTTAGTGGCCCTGAAAGCACAAGGATTCCAATTGAATTTCTAGAGAGAGAAATTCGATTTGAAATTCTAGAGAGAGAGAGAGAGAGAGAGAGAGGAACCTGGACCTGGAGGCTTAATAGAGGAAGGTTGGGCTCGATCACAGTGAAAACGCACCGCATTGAAGCACCGGAGCTTGGAGGTTGTTTGGCCTCGAACAAACCCTAGAAACAAACGCGCTGAGATCGACGACGCTTTTCTCATTCTTCCACCCAGCTACTTGGATTGGAATTATCAAACTCTGGAGTGGCGTTATTGATTTCTCACCAACTGTAAACGAAACATCAGAAACCAGAAAAGCGTACCAGTAAGTCGAGAGGTAGACGACGACGTGACGTGGCCACAAATTCCACCAGCCACGTGGAAAAGCGGAAAGTGCGGGAGGATCCATTGTCGTTTTGTTAAATCCTGCTTTTGCTTTTATGTTTTTTATTTACCGTTAACCGTTGGGAGCTTTTGAAATGCAAAGGCTCGTCAAGACCGCCATTTTTACCGCCAACAGAAGAGAAGCAGAGCAGAGCTGCTTGGCGCTCCTCCAAGGGTGCGACGCCGTTTCAAAGCTCTCCCAGATCCACGCCCACGTTTTGAAATCGGGGCTCCAAAACAATCCGCTTGTACTCACCAAGTTCGCCGCCACGGCCTCCGACCTTAAAGCCATCGACTACGCCTCCTCCTTCCTCTTCTCCGGCGACGCCGATACGCTTTACGATTCGTTCCTCTTCAATACTGTAATTAGAGCTTACGCGCAGACCAGCCATGAAAAGCATAAAGCTTTGTGCTTTTACAATGTTATGGTTCAAGGTTCTGTTTTGCCTAATAAATTCACCTACCCTTTTGTCCTCAAGGCCTGTGCTGGAATTGGGGACTTGAATTTGGGGAAGTCGGTTCATGGGTCGGTGGTGAAATTCGGGTTCGATGCCGATGTTCATGTTTGTAACACTATGGTTCATATGTATAGTTGTTGTGGAGGAGGGATTGAGTTTGCCCGGAAGGTGTTTGATGAAATGCCCAAGTTGGACTCTGTTTCATGGAGTGCGATGATTGGCGGGTATGTGCGTGTGGGGTGGTCGACGGATTCAGTTGAGTTGTTTAGGGAAATGCAGATGGCGGGAGTTAAGCCGGATGAGATAACTATGGTCTCCGTTCTGTCTGCGTGTACGGATTTAGGTGCACTTGAGCTTGGGAAGTGGGTTGAGTCTTACATTGAGAAAGAAGGGATTCATAAATCTGTGGAGCTTTGTAATGCGCTCATCGACATGTTTGCAAAGTGCGGGAATGTGGATAAAGCTTTGAAATTGTTTAGAAACATGAGTGGGAGAACAATTGTTTCTTGGACTTCTGTGATTGATGGTCTGGCAATGCACGGCCGCGGAATGGAAGCCATTGCTTTGTTCGAGGAAATGATTGGGACTGGGGTAGCACCTGATGATGTTGCTTTCTTAGGGTTGCTTTCTGCGTGTAGTCATTCTGGGCTAGTTGAAAAGGGTAAGAGGTACTTCAGTTCAATGGTAGAAAAGTTTCAAATTGTACCTAAGATAGAACACTATGGATGCATGGTGGATATGTTTTGCAGGGCCGGACATGTCAAAGAAGCATCGGAGTTTATCCAAAAGATGCCGATTGAGCCAAACCCTATAGTCATGCGAACCCTGATCAGTGCTTGTCATGCACACGGTGAACTCAAGCTTGGAGAGAGTATCACCAAGCAGTTAATCAGGAGTGAACCTATGCAGGAGTCAAACTATGTCCTGCTTTCCAACATTTATGCAAAAATGAACCATTGGGACAAGAAAACCAAGATTAGAGAGGCGATGGACAAGAAGGGGATGAAAAAGATCCCTGGGAGCACTATGATCGAGCTAGACCACGAAATTTACGAATTTGTGGCTGGAGATAAATCGCATAGACAGTGCAAAGAGATTTACGAGATGGTAGAGGAGATGGGGAGGAAGATGAAGAAAGCTGGATATGTTCCCACTACATCAGAGGTCTTGCTAGATATCAATGAAGAAGATAAAGAGGATGCTTTGAATAGGCATAGTGAAAAGTTAGCCATTGCTTTTGCCCTCCTGAATACGCCTCCAGGAACTCCTATTCGAATAGTGAAGAACTTACGAGTTTGCGATGATTGCCACTCTGCTACTAAGTTCATCTCTAAAGTTTATAATCGAGAAATAGTGGTGAGGGATAGGAACAGGTTTCACCATTTCAAGGATGGTATGTGTTCTTGTAGAGATTTCTGGTGACAAGCATATCAGAAATGGTTCCAAATGGGAGCTTATGAGCATATTTTACAATGAAAATTCCTTACAAAGAATGGCAATTGATCACAGCCACAAAACAACTTGCTGTTGGTATAGCTCATCATTTTGCTTTATTAAGTGAAGTTTTAACATCTAATTAGCTGTAAGGGATTGTTTTGTTTATTTTATGTACTATTGGATCACCTTTTGCTTTACTAAAAAGCTAACGCATAAAATCAAGCTCTGAGTGACTTAATTTTTAAAACTTGTTTATCTTTTATGTTTGGAAATCTAAGCCTTTTCTGGATGAATCTTAAGCCACTTGTACTTGCACAGAGCTCACCATTGTGGTATGTATTATTGACAGAACTTGTACTACAACTAGCGGAGGAGCATACAATCTGCATTCAGCTTTTCTAGTCATAGCAGGTGCAAATCTATCTCCTCAAAATTTTTTCATCTTTTATTTATTTTAAATTCATAATCACTTGTTTTGTTTTATGTTTCCACATATCCATTTGCTTGAAGCTTTGAATCTCTTATGTTTGGTGGTTATGTGTTTTGATTGACGAATACGATTTAGGGATATGGATGTATAAGACCAGATGTGAATCTCAACCTATTAAGAAACAGTCTCCTTCTTGCCTACCAAAAAAAATAAGGGAAGTGATTTCACCCTGTTTGTCCCCCTGATTATTTCTCATGAAATATGAGGAAATTTCATAAGGATTCGACGTGATCATGGAGTGCCGGCTGTCGACTACCTGACGCCCTCCCCCTCCTCCTTTATCCGGGCTTGGGACCGGCCATGTAAGAAATATGAGGAAATCATTTACCTAAAATTAAAAACGTCTATAAATTTTCACATATGGTTATACAGAAGATATTTACTACTCATAACTCATGGCAAGGCCTTTAGAATTAGCCGTTGGATTGAAAGGCGGTGGTTTCAAATTCTTTTCTTTTTTGGTAATTCCCACTTAGTGGGAAAAGGCTTTGTTGTTGTTGTTTATTTTCTTATTTTTTTAGTTTTCGGTCATATCAAATCTTGGAATGTAACGAACGAAAGATAGTTTGTTGACTGTGAGTGAACAGTGATCAGCTGTAATCATCCCTGTGGTCGTAGCACATCAAAAGGAAAATGGAAGGAAGCAACCAAGTTGCTCCGGATGAAACAAAAGCCTCTCAGATAGCAACCTTCCATCTATTCTATTATTCGACTCTTTGTAAAGACCTGAACACGCATTGCAAGTCGTCCTGGAAGTCTGGAACCTTTTCAAGGCAAATTTGAGACAGAATTACTTCAACACACCTTGGGCGGCTATTTCTGTCAGTGCAGCTGTTTTTCTCCTCCTCCTCTTCACGATCATGCAAACCGTGTGGTCTGTCATTTCTATTACTTAATCAATCAGCAGTAAGTCTTTCCTTCTCTGTGTCTAGTCTTGTTTCTTTTTTATCAACTCTCTCTGTCTAGTCTTTGAGAGAGCAATCTGTATTGAGACCCCGAGTAATTTGTGTACGTACCCGCGTACGTACATAGAAGTACACGCGTATCGTACGTCGAAGAGTAATAGCTCTTTAATTTTTCTGTGAAAGTTGGCTGTGTGTATTGAGTGAACATTTGAAGTAATAATTCCACTGCTTGTTTTGTTTGTTGGTTTCATTCTTTTCTTTTTGGTACTGGATTACTTCACGCGTTTTCGACGAGGAAATCTTGAGGTTGCATATTAGAACTCATTAAGGTCCAATTCGCATCATTAAGCTCGATAAAAGGAGATAAAAATCGGAGACAGATTTACTTCGAAGCCCTACATTAATCTATACTAACTGAATGAGCAGAGGGTTTGAAAATGGCCACCTTACAATTTTTTTACTATGTCCTTTTTTACTCAATTTTTTTTAACATGATACGAAACGGGCCCTAAATTGTTGGATGAATTTTGACGAGTATCTCGCCAGTTGGTAGAGAGTTCATCACATGAGAATTTTGATAGTGTTCACGTGCATACTATTGTTTGTTTAATATGTTGATATCGTCATGTTCTCCTAGGCTCTAGTGACCAAGAAAATGGTGGTCACTCACCTTAGATCTTAATGCAACGACGCAGAAATAAAAAGTTAAATGGGAACCAATTGTTGGATTAAGATCTAATGGTGGGTGACCAACAGTTTCTATTGGAATCTAGGAGAACAAATCTGTACTGACAATATCTTTAGCACAACCTTGTACAACCATTAGTTGAAGACTCAAAAGGTCATGTAAATTAATAAGACGCACAGCAAAAGTATGCATGCCATTATAATTAGGCTAGCTACAATTAAGCACTGAATCACAATATATATATATATTTCAAAAAATAGGATTAGTTGTAGGGTCCACGTCATATCTAACTCTAATGATCTGAATCGTTTATTTTTCAAATTGCACCTCTTAGATCATCTTTGCAAAATATTAGTCAATCAGAAATATTTGAGACATCTAATTGAGTTCAAAGAAATTGAAACAACGAAATTTTATTGTGATAATTAAATAGACAAATACTTTCAGATTGAATTGAATTTTTGCAAGAATGATTTATGAATCCAGATTTAAAATATGTACAGTTCGGATCATTGAAGTTTGATATGGAGCGGATCCCGCAACTAATCCCCTTTTTTTTTAAAAAAAAAGGGGACTCCTTCCCTTAAAAGCCTCCTACATATGTAGTCATTGTATGATTAGTCACAACTTTTTATCATAATCATTGCAAATATTTTATCGCATGGCATATTTTATTAGTTTTTGGAGCCGAACTTAACCTGCCCTGGGCCTACATGTTGCTTGTTGTGAAGCCAAACTTAGTCTGGTTCTTTTAGCCTGATTTTCTTTAGCCTTTTGGCCAGTGGCGGAGCCAGGAATTTAAGACAATGGGGTCAAAAAATAGCTTTCAAAAATCGATCATACTTTCATTCATAATTGTCCACGACGTGTTCTCATATTTTGGAAACGTCGTATTACAACATCATTACTAATAGAATCATATACATCTTTCTCAATGTACACAACCAAACTATCATTCAACCATTGATCACCCATCCTATTACGATGTGGATTCTTCACAATTTTCATCACCGAAAAAGCTCTTTCAACTGAAGCAGTCGCAACAGGTAAAATCAATGCTAATTTCACTAGCAAGTACACCAGGGGATACTGTCTATCCCTCTTTGTCTCCACAAACTTTTGTGCAAGGTTATTAATTCCTTTCAACGCAGAAAATTCATTATGCAAACGCATATCAAATATATAATTCTTCAGTTCATCTTCAAGAAGTGTGAGCTCCATATCAGAAAAATCCTTTGGATAAAATTCAGCAAGTCGAACTAACTTTTCAATGTCAAAAGCTGAGAATGAGTCATCTAGGCTTAAGCATGCAACACAAAGAAGCAACTATGTACTTGTCTCATTAAAACGATTGTTCAACTCTTAAAGTTGCTTATCAATAACATCAATAAAGAGATCAACACGGTAATGATGAAGGTTTGTCAATTTTTCAACTCTACGCCGTGACCTCCCTCGAGCTACGAAGATGTCATTCATATCAGGAATATCAATATCATGCTTGCCACAAAAAGAAGAAACTTTATCAAGCCAAGCATCCCATCCATTATCCTTCATCGCTTGTAGTTGTTGCTTACATGCTTTGACTAAAGCCATAGCACTCACTATATCGAGATCTTTCTTTTGCAATGCATGTGACAACACATTTGTGATTCCCAATATTTCTTTCATCAGAAAGAGACTAGAGACAAAATCAAAAGATTACAAAAGATTCAACAAAATATCCGCTTCACCTCTTTAATCAAGACTTACACCATCATCTACAATCATCTCAAGCACCTCAATTACAGAAGAAAACATATTAACCAAGCTTACCAAGGTACCATAGTGTGAGCCCCAACGTGTATCACTTGCACGTTTAAGACTAGTTTCTTGGTTCAAGCCTTGCCCACTTGGAAGCTCATAATTTTGAATAGCTTCCATAACTTTGGTTTGTTGTCTTTCTCTAACCATGTCTCGACATTTACATGATGCTCCGACAATAGTAACGACATTATTAACCAAGCAGAAAAAAGAGCCAATTTGAATATGATTTTTCGCCACGGCTACAAGAGCAAGTTGAAGTTGATGTGCAAAGCAATGAATATAAAATGCACTTTCATTTTCTTTCAAAATAAGTGTCTTAAGGCCATTAAACTCACCTTGCATATTGCTAGCCCCATCATAACCTTGTCTACGCAATCTAGATATGCTTAATCCGTTTATAGAGAAGAATTGATCAATTGCCTCTTTAAGTGAAATAGCAGTGGTATTAGGAACATGCTTTATGCCCACAAATCTTTCAACTACTTGTCCGTTGGTATTCACATAGCGAAGTACAACTGCCATTTCCTCCTTGACTGATATATCACGCGATTCATCAACCAAAACAGAAAAGAAAGCATTATCACCAATATCAGACATGATAGCATTAGTGGTTTCACATGCTGCTGCATACACAAGATCTTTTTGAATATCAGGTGATGTTAACTTGAGATTTTCAGGAGCATTTTTAAACACCACATCTTTAATACCCTCATTATGATCTGCGAGAAACTTCAAAAGCTCAAGAAAATTACCCTTATTGCTTGAATCTTCACTTTCATCATGACCGCGAAAAGCAAGACCTTGTCGCAATAAAAAGCGAATGCAATCAAGTGATGCATTCAAACGAGTGCGATAATCAATACGTGCTTGATCCAACTGCTTGTGAACAATTGTTTGAATATGTTGATTCTGATTCATTAAAGCTTCACAATGAAGTAAAGCTTGGTTGTGAGCACTATTAGGGCCTCCAACATGAACTCGAAGTCGACATTTTTTCTTCCAATTATGAAAACCTTTACTAGTAAAATTGTCATTACCTGCTTGGTCTAGAATCTCAAGCTTCAAGAGATAACAACTTCGACAAAAACAACATTTTTGGATATGCTATACTCCAACCAAGTAGGAAAGTCATCAAACCATTTCGGATTGAAACGACGTTGTACTGCTGCAAATGAAGTATATGGAAATTGATGGGTTCGAGGTTGAACCAATTCCCTTTGTAAATAAGCTCTTCGAACCTGATCTCTAATATTTGGATCATATTCTGATATCCGGAGTCGAAGCCCAGGATCTCCTGGAAGATTTGCCAGTATACTTTCTATGTTATTTTCATTTGAACTTTCAGGAATATCCGTTGTAGAGGGTGAGATGTTATCTTCGGTTGATTTTCTCTTAAAATACCTCTCCATAACTGTTTTAAATAATACCAAAAAGAGTCAACAACATAATATAACTAAATTATACTACATTCAAGAACTTTTTTCATGCCCGATGTTATAAATGGATATATGAGGATGATACTCTGCCCTTCTCAGACCTAATTCTAAACTGGAATTACTCTTAGACCTAATCCTTATTTTATTCATAACTGAAATTGAATGAAACCCTAAAAATCACAAGAAAATCTAAGATAACAAAATTACCAATGATTGGAAATTTGGAGTGGAGGTACTTGATTAATTGATGAACAGAGAAACTTGAAATTTGAATGGATATGGTGCCAGTGCTATGGTGGAGTCGCGCAAGCAGAGGGAAAACCTCAAATGTGTTGTGGTGGACCAACCGTTGAATGTTAAAATAGAAAAAGTATTAATTAAAAATTATTTTTTATTTTCTTATATATTGTTGCTGCTTAGCCGAAGAGGTTACATGTGGGCTCACATGTTTCATGTTGGGTCACCCAACTTGAACTTGGGTCAATATTTCTTGGCAATGTGGCCCACGCAACCAAGATTGCTATTGTGACTTTCTGTTGCTGGAGCTGCTGTTGCGGTGCTATTAAAGGGGTCAAATTTTTATTTAAAGGGACAAATTACAGATCCATTGGGGTCAAGGGAGCCCAATGCCCCCGCATTGGCTCCGCTAGTGCTTTTGGCTGGTGATCGATTTTGTCAATTTTAGGACGAAATGTGCCCTATAACTCTTGACCGGAGATGACCTAAGTTTCATTATTTGAGATTAAGACCGTGTAAAAGGTTGTCAATGGAGATAAGTTTGTTGATTTATTAATTAGTGAGATTTATTTATTATGTCGAATAGTTTTATATTTCGATGTCCATAACTGGATGAGGTAGATAGTGGAAGATGTGTGGGTTAGGGTTGTTGGTACCTTGGAGGTAATAAAACTATATCCATTTTGATGAGACAAAAGAAGGTGATTGTTCATATCAAAATCTTGGTATGTAATACAAATCAAAGACAATCAATTTGCTAATTGTGAGTGACCATTGAGCTGCCTGCCTCCAATCATCAACTGGAAATTAATGGAAGAAGTTAATCCAGGTGCTTCAAAAGCCAACTATGTTCCATTAGAAAATCTAATGAAAGAGAAGCTGGATAGCTTGTCTCCCCCTTCCTCTGAGTACAATATCTACACAGTTCCCGATAGCATACATCATGTGAATCAAAACATTTTCGAAGATGTCAAAAAGTCAACATCAACAATAACAGTAAAAAAATAGACAACATTAGTGAAAGAACATGTGGCAGATAATTAAGTGTATGACCCATTCATTTAGACTGTTTAATGAAATACACTTTCCCTAACAATAATAAAATAGCAGTAATCCCCATGATGCACCTGATAGGCTGATAGAATCGCTCTGCAGTTTCAATCTTATTTCTTAGCAATTCATATAAGGGTAATGGTAGGGAGATTACACTTGTAGACAAAATTTTGTAAACTAAATGACATGTAAATTAATTATTAAATTATTAATTAAGCATTGATTAACGTGTTCAGTTCTATTGGTGACACATTATTTAGTTTGATAACTTTGTCAACAAATTTAGTCTCTCTAGCATTACCCTTCATATAATAATAACACTAAGGAATGAAAGTGTGCATACGTACGTAGAAGTACACATGAATCAGAATATCTTCAAAAGAGATGTTAAAAAGTACACGTGAAGATTTGTCTCCCCCTTCCTCTGAGTGTAGTATCTACACAGTTCCCAGATAGCATATGCCATGTGAATCAAAATATCTTCAAAAAAGATGTCAAAAAGTTGACTTCAGCAATAACAGTAAAAAAAACAACAATAGTGAAAGGACACGTGATAGATAATTAGGTGTATGGCAATTAATTTAGACTCTTTAAGGAAATACACTTTCTATGACAATAATAAAACAACATAAGCCATATCATGCACCAGATAGGCTGATAGAATTGCTCTGAAGTTTCAATTTTTTTGTTTTTTTAACAAATGATAGTATCTACACTAAGAGGGTGGGGAATAGACTAAGCCTTACAATGGACTTGCCATAATAATGTGGTTCAACTTTGCTTTTGGCAAGAATTGAACCTAAGATCTCTCACTTAAAAATGAAGAGAAATACTACTACACCGTAATACTAAGTGACTCTATTTCTTAACAATTCATATAATAATAACACTGAGGAATGAGGAAGTGGGAATTTGATCATGGGCCTCTAGAGAAAAGTGGCTTAATGGGCCTTATGACCATGATGGGCCCAAGGGACAACATATAGAAATGTTGGGATCCACAAGGCCCGATTCCTTACTTTGTACTGATATTGTGTTCATTCAATTACCCGTTTGGCCCTACAATTTTTAATCACAAATCGTTGCCCTACAAAGTTCAAATAACCGGTCAAATGAAGCCGGCATTCCAAAATTATAATATTGCTCAAGACGTGACACCTTACTTCATTTGTATTGTTGTAAGCATCTAGCACAAAAACGGTATATGCTTGTCAATGTTACATTTTTGGGAATACAAAGTAATATTTCGTAGTCGGCAAATGATATCTAAATGTCAGGGTATGAGATTAACGTATTCATTTTTTACACCAAATGACGCGTATCATTTTTTTACACCAAAAACGGTATATGCTTGACAACGTCTCACACCAAATGACGCGTATCATTTTTTTACACAAACAACAAAATATTTAATGTCTATAAAACTATATATTTTTTATTTGAGAAATGTAGTTTTACACTTAGGCCATCTCCAATGGAGATAGCTAAAAGTGTCACAGCCCGTCCCGGGATTTTATTTATCGAGGACGTGAAATGACAGGATTGCCCTTAGCGGTTACTAAGGTATGTGTGTGTGACATATTATTGGACTAAATACACATATTCCATAAACTTTTGGAAAATTATTTAAGTTGGATTAAAATTTGGGTTGTAAATTTGTGTGGTTAGGGAATGAAGTTGTGACTTGTTTTTGGGTGGACCACACAACACACACACGGGACAACCCTCTCCCTTCCCCCGTGCTCTCTCCCTCTCCTCTCCGTTTCAGTCTCTCTCTCTCCCTCTCGAAATTGTACGGACAAAGGGCCAAACCCTTGAACTTTCACCAATCGACGCCAAAAAGGTAAGGTTCTTCATCCTTTCGACCTCCTGAGTTGAATGGTACTAGTTTTAGAACGGGAAACCTTAGAAATCACATTGAAAACCCGAGGTCCGATTTGAGTACTATTCATGCATTCGTGATGTGTTGATTTTCAGGGAATTCTAAGCTTATAGTGAGCTTAGTGAGGTCCTAAGGAAGCTCGGAGTACTTAGTTTAAAGGTTTTGGACGTCGGGATCGTTGAGTTCGAAGTTGGCCGGTTTTCTTGGAATTTCTCCTGTGAGATTTCGTAGTTTTTAGAGCCTTAAAGTAGTGTAACGTGATTCTACATGCTTAGGGCTTCATTTTGATATAAAATACATGAAAAATGATTGAGAAATGACGAAGAACAAGGAGATTGAAAAATCTCCAGTTTTCCGGCCACCGGAAAAACCAGTCCGGCGAGCCCAAGGTAGGAGACGCGCGTGGGGGTGCGGGACAAGCCCAAAAATTATTTTAAAAATATTTCGACGTTCGTGACGTCGAGTAGGTCACTGTGGTATATTCATATACCCAAATTGAGCACCGTATGAGAAGTTATTACGAATTGTCGGTTATGTGCTTTAAATAACGTTGTTTTAGTTGTTTCGCATAGGTGATACTTATCCCTAGGACGAGCGCATCCAGGGACGTCACGGGGGTTATGACCCTTCGACTTATCAGTGAGTGGGCAGTTATTTTCTGTATTTACCTATATACTATTGATTTTCCCATAAATTGAATTTAAATGAAAGTATGTTTTTCAAATGCCATGCATGCATATTATGAATTATATGAATTAGTAATTGATGCATATATATGTGAATTGGTGCTGTGGACGCACAGGTGAGTATCAGGTGAGTTTTATGTTAATCATGTGAATTGTTGATAATGTGAATTATGTTGAGAGCTCATAACCCGCACCCCTGGTGTTAGTGCTTATAGTATTCACCGCACCGCACGCTCACTTTGGATCCAAGTAGGTGCATGTCGTACAGACCATGAAAGGGTTCCGACATGCTAGTCGTACAAATCACTAGAGGTGGTTCCGATTGGTAGGTGACCTTAGATTATGCGCGCAGATGATTGATGAGAGAAGCACTAGAGCGTATTCTTACACCTTTCTTGTCGTACAGACTACTTCAGGTAGTTCCGACTTATGTGCAGAGTACCGCCGTACAGGTCACCGTGGTGACTCCGGCTGGGTTGGATATTGAGCTATAGAATTAACCGTACAGGACAAACTGCAGGGTCTCCGGTTCCTTCATTATGTCACCTGTTATATTGATGCATCCATATTCTGTCATTGATATTTATAGCATGGCATACTTGCTGGATTTGATAAAGATTGATGTTTTGAGAGATTTGAACAAATATTATGCTATTATGTTATTTTCTGGGAAAGTATACAGGTTTTACAGCGAGGGATTAGAAATGTTTTGATGAAATGTTTTTGAAAATCTTTGGTTTTACTGACCCACTCAATTTTGTTTTGCGCCCCTCCAGGTTCTAAATAGCAGCGTTGGTGGCTCACGAGGTTTTTGTTCGGCGTTCTGATAGACTTCCTGCATGTAGGACTCACCTGCGGGTGTTGTAATTTAATTATAGTTCTACTTGACTGCACCTAGTTTCTGCTCTGAAATTGTGTACTGCACACTTAAACTCACACTAGTATGCTAGTTGGATATTATTCCTAGTAGTTGGTTTTTATTCCTTCGTATTTCTCATATCTTTTGCTTCTGCATCGCACTTTTGGTTACGTCACGCCCACGTGACGGCCAGCACGCCTTGATTCTAGGATCGGGGTGTGTCAGTTTGGTATCAGAGCCTAGGTTGCAGTCCTGT